GGCAGTGTTCAAGGCCAGGTTGGACAGAGCTCTGAGCAACCTGGTCTGGTGGAAGGTGTCCCTGCTCATGGCAGGGGGGTTGGAGCCAGATAATCATTAAGGTCCCTTCCAACCCAAACCATTCTACGATTCTAAGATTTAGGAAAGGTGCAAAAAGGCAAATGGCCATAATTTTGTAATTTCTATTTGTATTTATCCACCCCCTGCTCCAAGAATCCTGTTTTGAACAGATAAGCAAGGGTTTCTAGTGAGACCAGTGAGAAGCCTGTGGCTTGTTTTCAGATTTCACACCACATGCTGTCTCTACCACAGCCCCACAGAACAACCGCTGTCTTCGTGGGAAGGCACCATTCAATGAAATAGTCTTTCAGGTACGCTGCACAAAACCAGAGTTTTCAAACAAATGGTGCACTTTAAGATGTTCTACCCCACATCTCTCACCTCTTTACCTGTTAGACTTTTCAAACACTTAACCTGGCTGCAATATTTACTATGGGTATTTTATTTTCAGAATGATTGTGAAACCCTTTACCTGTCATGGAAAATTAAGGAACAAAGATCTACTAAATTCAAAGCAGTTTCATATCCTTGTTTAGCCAAATATACCTCCAACCCTGTGATTGCACAAATATGATTAAAAGTATATAGTCAATTTATTATTCAGGTTCAGGGCAAAGGGTTTTGTTGTTACATTAGGGGTTTTTTTGTTTGGGTTTAATTTTTCAGGTTTTTTTTATTAATAGCTTTGCAGCTGCTCTACTTCAAAAATGTCAGCCTCAGAAATATGGGACTGAGTGTTGGGAAAACCTCATTAGCTATGTGAAAACTGCGTGTGGTCAAGACAGTTTCTGGTCGTAGGAGCTAATCCTAGCATCACTGATCCCTGCTGGCATTGCTGGGGAGTGGGATTCCCATGCTTGAGGTGTTAATGCCTTCAGGACGTCTCAGTTACTGGAGCCAAGAGAATAAACTCCTCTGTGTTACTGCTTTTAGAAATATAGTCCCCTGCTGTCTTTTAGTCATTTGTCTATGATAATGTTACTACCACCATTATGAAGGAGAATGGCATTAAGTTGTGAGGCTGCTCCAAACCAGCGCAGAGCGGAAAAAATCCTTCGTCCCTTCAGGAAGGAAATACAGGACCTTGATAATTGCTAGGAGAAAACTGAGTTAAGCGTGAAAGTAGGCTTCACGTGCACAGTGAAGAGTGACAAAACCTTGGATCTGATCCGATTTCCTTCCTTCTACTGCAGAGACCCCTGGAAAAGCCGGACGGCCTGGATGTTTCGGATCAGAGCAAAGAGCATCCCCAGCATCTGTGTGAGAAGTGCAAAGTTTTGGGCTACTACTGCCGCCGTGTGCAATAAAACTTTGGAGTGGCCTCTTCCCGTCCCCATCGTCCTTCAAGAGCCTCGGGCAGCACGCGATCAACAGCAACACAACAAATCAAGATAAAAGCTAAAATAATTGCCAATATTGCCTACCTAATAATATGCCTTACCATTAATAGAATGTAACATGTCTCCTGTGCACGTGTGCGACAGGTATTTACAGGACTATGGTTTGTACACATACATATATATGTAAATTTTATATATATATGTACACACACATATATAAAGTGTTAGTGTGCACAACAGAACCGTGGTTGCAGGTTCTGCTGATTGTTTACACAGACCCTATACCATGGCCAGGTGAAATGAAGTACTAGTCAATAGGCAAGGTGTAATATTCACAAGGAATATATGTTATATGTATGGCTTTTGCAGAGGTTAAGTAACTGCGGGGCCACTCTTTGCCAGCACTCACCCACAGCGCGAACCTTATTCCTATTATATGACCAGACAAAGGAAGATGAAACAAGCCACAGCATAGAAGAAGGAAAATCACTGTTCTCCCAGTTTCGAGGGTTTTGTGCTGCTGCTTTCTTGGACTTTCTCCATTTGTTACCGTCGCTTGGGCAGGGCTTAGGCAAAACCATTTTTGCAGGATGTGGCAAAAAAAAAGTGAATAATTGTTTGAGAGTGTGGGTTGGATAGAAAGGGGATTCCATAATGGGACCCAGAGCATTAGGAAGGATTCCAAGAGGTTTTTGGAGGAGACAAATTTGTCTTGCTTGCACAACTAACAGATCCTTCTCTTGTCATATAATCCCACTGAAATGGTCCCTGTACGTGTACGGGCTATTCGTTAGGCCACAAGCACACTAAATTTACTGCGAATAAGGGGGCATAAGAATACTTAAAACTGTCCCCAAAACCCTTAATTGAAAGATTAGCCAAACTTACGATTTATAATAGTTTTAAAGCCACTTTCTGGAAATATTTTTATGTCCTGTTTTCTACTGTACAAACTTGTTATAATACAAAACTTCGTAGCCATAGGGGTGTTCTGAGGCATGGAGAACACTCTATATAACCTTCTCTCTTTATGTCTTCCTGAAAAACCTACATACCTGAGGAGAAATGTAGGAGTTCTATTTCAGTGTCCCATTTCAGGTACAACTTTGGGCAGGGGCATCCTGCTGCAAAGTAGTATCTCGTCAGGGATTGGGAAGTGTCATGAATTGAAAGTACCTTGAGACAGTATCCTGTTTGTATGTCTACGTAAGAGTACATTGGCAAAAGGATGCAAGCAGCAATTCACTTGGCATTATTCACTATAAAAAGTTACAGGGATAATGTTTGCTTGGGTTTTTTTTTAAATCAACAATTTCTATTTTTATGAAGTTTCCTTTAGAGAGACTGATTTTTGTGAATGATACTTAGTGGAAATACTTTAAATCCAAAATAACTTGATGTGAATTAAATTTGTTTTGAGGGTCAATTCCATAACGCTAAGACAGAGGGGTGTTTATGCCAAGTTAGAGCAGAATGCTACCAGTACGTATAGTCAAGCTCTTGTAAAGCAAATTGCAAATTTACAGTCAGCATTCATATAGGAAACGCGAAGCTCTTCACAAATTCGCTCTAGGGTGAAACTTTTGCCATTTCCCTGCTTTGCTATCAGCAGGGCAAAACTTTTTCTGCTTATTCTGGTGGTATTGTCACATACGTATCTCAGACTTCATTACTTATGGGGTAGCCCCGGTGATCCAGCCTACTGCTCAGAGCAATGGATAAACATCAAGACTCCTGGCTTCTGAACACAGCTCTTCCATTAGCTCCCTGATTTTGGGCAAGTCACAAGGTCCTCCTGGACCTCAGTTTCGCCAGCTGCAAAATGGGGATAATACTTTTGTATACCTACCTCACAGGAGAGCTGTGAGGCTTACTTAATGTTTAGAAGTGTTTTGACATCACTGGACGAAAAGCGCTATGTAATGCTAAAGCAGTATTAACTAAATTAATCACTTTATAACTAGTTTTGCCCTGTTGGCAATTCCACCAACTAAAATATTTGAAAATATTATTATTGAAAGTTAACACTAATAACAGGTCAGTTGCCTCAGTGAAGACACACAGTTTTAACATTTTCTAATGGATACACATTCTTTTGCACAGGCTCAGAAATTACCTTAGAGACAAATTCTCCAGAGATACTAATCTGCCTACACAAATAAGAACAACACACAGGCAAATCTAGGGGTGGGTTTTCAAAGCCTGACCTGTAGTATGAATGTTGGTATTTTGTTTCCTGCACAAGTAATACTGAAAGAGCCACATACTGAAGCAGATCTACTTTTTTCCTCTTCAACACTTAATAGTATATGAACAAACAAACAAAAAAAATCACCTTGATGCTTCACATCCAGCTAAAGGACATGTAGAGAACCTCCTTAGATTAAGAGAAGAGCAAATGTTATTTTGTTTTCTCCCCAACGCTAAGACTATCAACAATTTCCTCTGTGTTGAAATAATTTCCATCTTATGATAACCACTAGATCAGTAAAGTAGCACACATCTCTTGATATAGCTACATCAATACACAGCACACCACCAGGTTCTGAACAAAGACCAACCAGAAGAGACCATTATATGCAACTGTTGCTATTTTCGTGACAGTGCCCTGTTAAAAATTGTTTACCCAGATTCAACACTGCATGGCAATGCCTTTAGGTTATAGTTTTTTTAGGTTGTACTTTAAAATAAGGTTCCTGAAAAATACACGTGATTGACTTTAAAATAATTAATGTCTATAGGTGTAGAGTAATAATTCTTAAAAGCATACTTGGAGTTTGATATTTATATCGTTGATATTTTCCTAGGTAGCACAAAAAGTAAGTAATACTTACGATATTTGAAATAACAAGAAGTAGAACAGATTTTCCCCTGCACTTATGTAGGGGAAAAGCAGAAAAAGAACAAAACGTGCAGGAAAGCAAGAAGCAACACTGCCATAGTTTGTACTGCCCAACTCGGAGACTGCAGATCCATCCTGGTGCGGGATGTGGGTACGATCAGGGCTGGGAGCCCTCCCTGCCCAGAGCGGGATGAGGAGGGAGAGGGACCGGGGGTCCCCTGGAGTAGCCACAACCCTCCCTTCCCCCCAGGCATGGAGGGGGGGTCCCCTCATTTCTGGGTAAGATGGAGGGGAGCGTTCCTCTCTCCCTCCCTGCCTGAGGTTTTCTCGGAGGATTGTAGCGATCAGCCCTGCGCGTTTGCTCCGCCCTCGTCTGTACGTAATTTGTGGGTTGCTGGAATAACACATCCATGTAAGTAATGTGCAATAGCATAAGACCATCGGCTTTTAGTTAATGGCACAGAAGGAAAATTTCTGAAATTCAATTTCAAAAAAAGAAAAAACCATCACAAAATGTAAATTTCCTCTCTTTGCTCCCCCAAGGTAATTGACCTATAGACCTAACTAATTCTGTCCAAATTGGAAAAACCTTAACAATTCAGAATTTTGACCGAAAAGAGGATGAGTGTATTTACCTCTTAGCTTTTGGTGAATGCTTTCTGATGTTCCCTTTAACCAGCTCTGCATTCAGAACATCAGCTGGCAGCTCATTTCTAGACAGCCTTACTAGAAGCGAAGCAAGCATCAGTACAAAGAGTTTTCAATCAATACAGGTCCCCCTAAACTGAGTATTCTTTAGGGCATACCTGAGAGAATTTCAACTCTGTGCATTTATTTGAAAAATTTTATTTTTAACTTCAGATTCTTGCTGTTGCTTGCCTACCAATCCATCCAGTACACTTTTTTTTTTTTTAATTTCCCCCCTCTCTGGAGATTTTTTTAAACTTTATCTCTTTAAAAAAACTAAGCACAGTTTGTTTCCTCAGTCGGTCAGAACATTTCACACAGAATTTGTCCTTGGCATGGGCACTGCTCTGGAGAGAAGTATCAGTGATTTGAAATGCCTGGTGTAGGTTTTTAGCTGCTTTAACCTGATGCGGCTCCAATGAAGTTGTTACAAATGCTTCATTTAATGGTGATGAAGAAAAATCCCCATAGTTTAAAGGTCGGCCCCATTTTAGCCAGTTTCTACTGCTGCTACCACGGACGTAAAATGATGCCACACAAGCAAAGTTTGAGGCTTTTTGTCTCAAAGTTGCTTTGAATTTCAGATAAATACACAAGAGTATATATTATTTCTGAAAATGGGTGTATTTTGAAGTTCCCCATTATATGGGACTTAGTTTGTAAACTAAAAATGTGAAGTTACGTATGTCTGAGAGAAGCCTTATAGCGAGAAGTATTCTCTACATTTTACGCTTTTGTATAACGTGAAATTTAGATTATACATGGATTGCATACCTGTGATGCTCTAGCAGTTATTAAAAAAGTAAAACTACTTAAAACGTTAAAAGTTAAGAGCTTTTGGAAAGATCAGACTTCATAGATCTGTTCTCTTTTTCCTGCAGTCACACAGTATTATTTTTTTTTCCTAGTAGGATCCTATGAGTTGTCCACTGAACAGTATGCAATAAGTCACCAACATGTGTTTTTCAAGTTAAGTGAACTGACATACATTTTCCACTTGCCTTTGCCAACGTATTTGAAAATGGGATGGAACTGTCCCTGTACAAAACCCATTCTTTAAAATATCACTCCGCTTCCGACTGGGGCTTCAGCACGTCTCCTCTCTGCAAAACCACTGCTGTCTGTTCAGGTTGTCACATTGCTGAAGTGCTCAGAGGGCTGTGTGAGACCTCCGATGTAGGGATGATGGTTTGTGTTTCTAGGATGAATTTCAAAGGGACAATCGTGTGCAGTTACTAGCTATAGATGATTGATATAAATGTTTACCCCTGTATGAAGTATTTTACAGTTTTACTTGCAGATGTGTATTTATCTTGAGTTATACTTGACATAGAGTTTCTTTCAATTTTTTTTTTAATACTATGTGTGTATTTTGGAAACCTTTTTAGATGTTAAAATTTTTGAATGGTTACAAATATTTCTTGTAATACTGAATTGTTATCTTATCTGGAAACTTCGCAGTAACTTTTTTGTATATATTTGAGGGCCTTTTTAAAAAAAGTATTGTTCGTTTTTTGGGGAAAAGTTTTTACAATTTGGAAGCTTTCAGAAGGGCCTTCCTCACAACTAGAATACTAACAGAGGTAAGAGTTTTCTTAAGTATTTTGCAAAACTAAGGATGTATCCTCAAGAAAATATTTATGGAAGTAATTTACTTTTTTTTTTACAATGCTTTTGTCTGTATAAAGTATGCAACAGAACTACATTGAGAAGGAAATATTGTCTACATAAAATATTATATGAAAGTTGGTACATAATTCTGACAAAAAACCTTGCAATTCTTTAAGCCATATTGTTTTTGTTATCCTTGGATGAAAATATCAGTATTAAGTAACCAATATATTATTCAAGTGCTTAGACTTGTATGAAAATGCTTATACAGTTTATTTATGTGTATTTGGGGAAGGATTGCTAGCAAAAGCTATCACTAGACATGTAGCAAGTGAGGAGCAAATAACAGTATACTGTCAC